TCTTCTTCTTCTTCTTCTTCTTCTTCTTCTTCTTCTTCTTCTTCTTCTTCTTTCCTTCTTCTTCTTCTTCTTTCCTTCTTCTTCTTCTTCTTCTTCTTCCTGTTCCTCTTCCTCAGCCTCTTCCTTTTTGCTATTTTTCTTGCTTTTTCCATGTCTCTCGCTTTTTACATTTCTCTTGTTCTTTCTCTTTTCTCCTTCCTGTTCAGTTTCCTGTTCATCTTCCTCTGCCTCTTCCATCAACCATCAACCTCCTCTTCTCATACCGGCCGATGCCCGGCTGGCGCGGCGAAGCCTGGTGGGGAAACTATGATGAGACAATGAGATTCCAGATGATTCCAGCTTTCATCAGCTTTTCTAAAACATCCGTGACAACGCACAAACACTGGCACGGGTCATGACCCGTGAGAGGCACCCCTTACCCCTTCCCTTTTATGATACACCGGGATCTATTCCAAAAGAGTCTCCCCAGAGTGAAAGATGTGAAAAGGAGGATCTGCTGCTGCAGGACCTTCTCCCTGGAACCAAAACCACCCACCCCACGCCTCTTCTGCCCCGAACTGTCCCACTTGTTGACGCCCCGAACAGTCCCAGCGTCCCGGTAGAAATCCATGGATCGCCCCTCTGCCTCGTAGGCTCGCGCCTGCAAGCGGGAAGAGAAGACACAAGACCTTATTGAGAGAGAGAGAGAGATAATCTTGAGCTGGTTTTTCTTATGGTAAACTCTATAGGAAACCAGCAAAATCAGCCTATGGGTTTAGCTGTTTAGCAGCTCCTGCCTGGTCAAGTCCCATGTGTTCTTTGTCTTCAAACCCCTCCATCAACGAAAAACATGGCGCTACAGTCTTACAATGACCAAATAGATGAAACATGGCGTGCTCGGCCCCCCAAAAAAGAACTACTGTATCTCCCAGTCATTGGCCGATCTCACTGAGGCGCCCCGTCAGGCCGCCACCGTCGCTTGATCCAAAAAGGCACCACTGAGGCAACGCGGCGGTAAGCGACGACCACGACTCCCGCCCAGCCGCTGGGCAGCCCGGACCACTGCTGTCTTTGGGATGAAGATGGAGGTTTCTCCGTTGTAGCCCATCGTCCCCGTCAGCCTCGGAGTGATACTTCGCACAGGAAGTGGTGTTCGACCGGACGGACTGTTCACTGAGTGCCGGTCAGCGACGCACGGTTTATTCAAACGTGGCGTGACGTGACGTGACATGCATTATAATATCATCATGTAATTATTAAACAACAAGCACGTATTTATCGTATTTAAAACACTGTGAAACCAGAGTGGCTCCAAAGGTGCAATCGAATTGCGCACGATCATCGTCGATGGATGGTGGTCCCGGGTGGTCCCGGTCATGCGGTTCAATCCATCTCTTTTCATCGACGAATCATGACGAAACCGATGGACGAAACCGATGGATCCGCAATGATCCGCAGTTGGATGGGAGGGTTTTTCCGAGCCGAACTCGTTCGGGCATGTTCGGGCGGGCCAGGCGATCGGCGATCGCCTGGCCTGGGGGCCGTGTCCGGAAAGTTCTGTTGGACCTCGGTCCAGAGCTCCGAATATCCTGCGGCTGGGCGCCCAGCGGCCAGGTTACGGTTCGGGTCAATCCAAAAAGCATTCGCATACCAGCACCCTCCAACAGGTCACCACCTGACACTTTTTTGAGTCTACAAAAGCCACCAAAGGAGACCTGTTGGAGGGTGCTGGTATGGATTTGATTAATAAAAATAAGTGGGCAACGTTCAACTGGAAGATTCCTAACAAAGCTGTGCAAAAAGCTCTATGGGAAGAAACAGGAAGAAACGGACCAATCCAAACCTCCCGAGAACGTCGGATAGGAACCATCCTCCCCCTCTAAAGAAACCTCTTTTCTTTGGGAGGACGTATTCGTTCAGCGATCGAAGAGCGAGGCAAATGGGAAGGGTTTTTCGGATGGGTCCAAGTTGGTCCATCCGAGCTTCACCAGGCGCCTTCAGCCCCTTCAGCCCCTTCAGCCTGCTTCGGCTTCAGTTCTTCGGCTCTCCAGCCATTGCTGGAGCACCGACCACCGACCACCGACCGACCCACGACCGGCAGCATGCCCTGTCCTATGGTCCACCCCTCAAGGCTGATATGGTAATAGGTGCTCGTTGGCCCGCTGCCGCAACCACGATCAGTGCTGTTCGTCGGCTGCAAGCACCCTGCCAAAGCGAAGAAGGCATCCTGAGAGCACGCACGATGAGTGGTGCGTTCTGGAAGTGTTTGCAGTTCCATGCAGTTCCAATGCCAAGCTACGAGTACGGCCAAAACCTGATGGAAAAGTACTCATACTGAGACTGGATGGTGTTTGTTTTCTCCCCACTAATTAAATATCACTAAACCATCTGTTTGGATCTATTTGGAGGGTTTCGGTCCGGTCGTTTCACATAGGGCCCACCATCAATGCCCTGCCTTGGGTTTCGGTCGGTGCTTGGGGGGCTTTATGGAGCTCGCACGTGTGCACGTGTGCGTTTTTCCTACGCGCCGACTCACGTGAGACGAAGTGGATGGAACGACGGCCACAGACGGCCCCCTTGTTTGGGAAGACGAAGCTTGCGAATGCGGAAAAATGGATCAAAAAGGGGATTGTTCCACAAATGTCCACAATGCATGGTGATGGTCATCGGAGAGTGCCTTGCTGTCAGAGAGGCTCCAATGACCACACGTCCGGGGCATCGCACGCACGCTGCGTCCTTCGCGCGCACCAATGAAATCGCTGCCCAGGTCGTCTCTCGCTTCGTTTTCGTTTTCATGCATGTCTTCTCGCTTGGAGGCCCATTTTGTCGGCCCAGCTTCTGGAGTGCTAATTCCAATGCCCCGGTGCACCACATATCCCAACTTCTCCTGTCACCGGTGCCGCTTCGCAGTGACGGTGGCCAGGGCGCTTCGCCGCGAGACGAAACCGTCAGACGGTGCTCGACGAGCAGAAACGAAGGTTTCAAGGTCCGGAAAGCATGGCTGTCGATCAGGGCTGTCTTCTACCGGATATCGTGTTTCTCTTGGTCTGTTTCTCTTGGCTAATGTGTTTCCTTTAGTCCTTTAATTTGGTGTAGTCTTTGAAAAGTTTGAAAGGTCTACAGCACTCTGCAAGATGGTCAAAATCAGAACTGACATGTCACCCGGGAGTCGAGGAGTTCCTCGCCCCGCCGGAAAGTGTCGAGGCTCGGGATCTGAAGGGATTCGAAGAGCGAAACGGTGCGATCCACCAGGTGAAAAAACACCTAGACTCGTGATGGAAAGAACATGTGTTGGACATCCAAACAATGTGTTGTGCATGTGTTTAGGGTTTGAGCAGGGAACAACGTATGTGGCTGCAGCTTCCTCCCTCCAAACCCTACAGTAATTAATCTGGCTAGGCTTAATCAGGCTATATCAGGCTTAATCAATCAGGGAGTACAAAGGGGTGCAAACCAAAGAAGCCAAAATGGCACCCTTCTCCATCTAAGGTCAAAAACCAGGAGGCAAGGAAATTCACATGCAGCCGACAAACAGCCATTTTATGGCATCGGTCTGTTCAAGTTGACAGTCTGTTGCTTGTGATGCTTTTTTGGAGGAAATACCCTGGTCCTTGATTGCACCGCTCAAATTGAGACAGCATTGAGACGTCTACGAGAAGTTTCACGGCCAAACCTCTAGACTCTAGAGCTTTACACCAGCACACCAGAACCCTTGGGAAACCAACAAGATACACCAAGGAGAAATTCACACACCAAGCTCCGACCAAGCTCCGCCCAAGCTCCGCGCAGCGACCCTGCGACCTGCCGTCAGGTGCTCTCCGCGCAAAGCGTCCTCAAGGAGGATTTGGGCCACAGCCGAAGTAGCATAGCCCGCAGCCCAGTCCATCACCTCAGAGGCATGCTGAAGGCGTGCTGAAAAATTGTTGTTACTAGCGATGGCCTCCAATTGCGATGGCCTCCTTAGTAGCTTCTATACCTATGCTTGAGTGCTTGGGACGGAGAAAAAGACGGCTCACAAAACCGATCAAAAAAGACCTTTCCATCTAAATCAGTACACCAAACCGAACTTCCCCCAAGCTAGCGACAAGCTCGCTTCCGCCTTCCTGGAACCTTCCTGCAACTACGTACCGCCCCCCCCAACTGGCTTTCTCACACCAACTGCTTGGCCTTTCGATGGAAACGGGGCCTCTTTTGGCCGGACCAGTTGAGTCGTCGAGTGGATGTGCACATCCCGGACGCGCAATCGACGTTCACTTCCAAGGTGCATAGAGGCCGAGCGGATAGCTCTCAGCCCCATTCGAGACATTCCGGCGCCTTGGTGAAGGCGACCCAAGCAAACCAGCAAACCAGCATGCAGGGACTTGAACAACTGATGTCCAATGTCCTTCATTGATAATACCATGATTTACCTATTGGTTGTACGCGGTTGTTGGGGGGTATCGCCATGTGATTGGCATGTGCATGCACCCAAACGTTCGCTGTACGTCGAGAGCTCCTGTGTCCCAAACACCACGCGGACCGGAGCCAAGCAGCAAAGCAGCAGGAATGCCATCTGCAAAGCAGGTACTGTTGACGCTTCCCGTCCCATTCATCGCACTTCCCGGCCAAATGCTCAAGAAGAAGTGAAGAAAAAACATCCCGAAGAACCCCCCGTGTGGCGCGGGACGTGTGCGACGCGTGCGCCACCATCCCAGCCATGTGAGAGACATCCTAAATCTAGTGGCCCCTCGGCAGTGAGCACAAAATGGCAGCCAATCTGATCCTGGCACGTGTCCTGAATCTTTCGGGGAAAAAGAAACGAAGAATTAAGAATGATGTCCTTTTTGCGGAACTTGGATGATATGTTGATAATTGATAATATGTTGCTTTTGAGAGCCGTTCTCCTTTTGGAGGGTGGTTTCACATGACCGGGTAACCCGGTATCTTTGCAGAACAGTCCCTTCGTACGTGAAAGGGTTGCTTCGAGCTCGACCGAATCGCCTGGGCCTGATTCTTCGACCAAAATGATCGTGCGCGTGCGAAACTGGGCGGTGTTCTATTTCTGCTAAACTGGACAAGTTCTTTGAGTCAAATGGTATATCCCATTCCCTGCAACAGTGGAGGATCATGGTTCGGTTGCAGGCCGTTCTCTATAGTATAGTTATATGTTCTTGTTTACAGACACTTTCAGGTAATAGGATACCCCCCAAATCTACACCGATCCAAAACCATCCAAAGTCATGTTCAAAGTCATGCCGGCCTCAGTTCGCCCAGCCGTTCGTTGTTGAGCTCAGCAGTTCTATTCCTGGCGATTTCAGATTCGATACCATGACAGTGACACGACTGGACCAATGACACGGAAGCCATCTGCGTATGGAATACTTGCACTGTAGCTCTGACCCGATAGAAACCACCTGATCGATGGGTCTACCTTCGAAATCGAGGGTAGAACCTGCCAGAATGGGGATGAACCAGACATGGCTGTGAACCAAACCTTGGTAGTGGAAGAAAACAACGCACAAAGATTAGAAGTGTACCAAGCTTGGCATGGCCCAAATTCTTCGTAGCTTGGAATAGTATATACTTTGTTTCAAGGGCATTTCCAATAGCTCCAGTCGGTGCAAACCAGTATGTGAGAATGTCTCATTTCTTTCAACTCTGCTTTTTTGTGATAGTGGGACAGGTTCTGTCCCGACAAAAACCCCACAAGATCCCTGCAGAGTTCTGGTTCAACTTTGTGAAGGTTTATGAGCAGGATGTGTTTCATCCTGCTCGTGTCCGCTCGTGCCACGCAGCTCGTGGAACGTCACCAGCGAAATCGGCACATCGAAACATCCAACGGTGACCGAGCAAAATCGGCCTTGGTGGTTGGGCGGAATGTACGATGCATGGATTCAAATAACGCCTTTTGAGGGAAACAGTTGCCTTCACTGCCTTTTACTTTCTTTTGAAAAATAACAACAAAGAAAATCGTATACCAGGGACCCCTAAGGGGTGGTTAATGGACATGGTCCCTTAACCTCTAAGGAGCTATAATTGGACACCCCTTTAGGGGGCCCTGGTATATGTCTTTTGGCGTCGAAACGGCGTGTGTTCACCCTTCTCCACCTGTTTGAGGGCACACCTGGGTGGTTAGGCGGCATGCTTTCATAGAAATACCTGGAAAGTGATATGCTATTTGAAGATCCAGGCCTACTTCCAAGGACGTCCAAGTTGAAATCACTCGAATCTTTGCACCAATGAAAGAAAACAAAGTACATCATCATCAATTGCATAACACATGTTTTAGCATGTTTGAACCACCGCTTCAACCCTTCTAGGCTAGAAGCTGGCAAAAAAAAAACGGTCGCTTCTACTGCAACCGTTCCGACCCACTTTTTCTTCGTCGATTGTGGTCTGAACAGCCGGTCTTTGGCCGGCCAGACCCTCGGGCAGACTCGGCCGCCAGCGCTCAGGAACCGCCATGGAATACTCGATATGAAAAGTCCAAGAACATCCTTAACATGTGCTACATGGTAAATCTAATATAAGTGAATATATATAACAAAAACATAAGAGTAAGTGTCGTGATCATAGATATAAGATTATATAAGTGAATATGGCATAGTTGACCGTAAAACAACGTCTTCCAGCGTCATGTCCTTGCGCCGACCGATAGATTCAGGACTCCGCCGACCATGAAACGATAGTGATTGGCGGAGCACTGGGATGATGAGCTTCCAAACTAGAATTGAACATCAGGACAGTAGGATCAATATATGGATCAAGCAATCAATCAGCCAAGTGTTCTTTTTCCTTGAATCAATGAAGACGATATGAAAAGGGCTCAGCACCAGCAAGCAGGGAAAACACAGGCATGGCCCGCACCGGCCTGCATAATGTGTTGTTGGAAACAGGAAACGGACGCGTCTTGGACGTGTCTGCGCATGGTCTGAGTGCACAACTGTGCAGCTGCCTCTTCCAAGTGGAGAGGTCAAACCACTGAATCAGCCAAACCCGCAAGTACTCAGATGAGAAGCCCGGAGTGTCAACCAACTCTGTTGCCTGGCCTACGGGTTGTCGATCTTTCATAATTTCTCATGAATTCTTATCTCACCCGGTCTCTCGAATTTCTGACCATTAGTCCCTCAAATGGGCCAGTTTGCAACAGCCCAATCACCAGACGTCACCGGATCACCCTGGTTCCAGGTGATATCTGTTTGGAATGAGCTACTACCAGGAGTTTCAAAGGGGTGCGATCCATGGAGGTTAGGGGTGCCCATTACCCAATGACTTAGGGACCAAACACCACCCCTTTGTGACCCCTGGTACTATGTGTTTCTCAATGTTTCGAAAGCTTGGACCCTCTCTTCCGCCCTTCACCATCTCAGCGGCGCCGGAGACACCACGGCGCTCAGAAGCTGAGCCGTTGCAGATCGCCCTGGTCGCCCTCGCCCTCGTCGCTCTGGTCGCGTGCCGGAGACGTGGCGCCCACGTTTCGGTCTGAAAGTTCGTCCTCATCCTCGTCCTGGAGTAGAACGCTGAGCTGTGTGGGCAAGAGGATCATCAAAGGGTTTAGACGTACATGTAATCCCGCTTCCAAATTACATCAATCACATGCCGACCAATGGCACCAATGCAACATGTCGTGAGCGGCGTTATGCATTCAGTGCTACACTCAAATTATACTACCTATTATCTTTGAGCCCTATCTCGTTCACAAGCGAATACTGATGATACACAAACAAATAGAGCATGCCGTAGGCTGTAGACTACTTTAGCATGATTTTATCAGAATTTAGAGTCACGTACACAGGATTCCAGCGACCTTCAGCGAATTCCGGGCGCCTCTGCCATCTTTAGGACAATACCCGGATCGACATTGGTCACCCGTGTAAGCCGTTGATTGAAGCTTTGGAGGGCCACGCGCGTATGGAAGAGCTGCTGTTCACTGCTTGGACAAATCTCCATGGAAATCAAGGTGATGGCCGAAGTAATGATCTTCAAGTCAGAAGCATTCATGCGCATCACTTCGCCCTCCAAAGTGGCCACTTCCATCTCCATCCTCCGTGACGCCGCGGTTGACGCCAAACGACGCCGTGCAATTTGCACCCCCAACAAGGACGCATCGCTGCCGTGCGAGGAACGCCCGGAGAGCTGAGTTGGAATTCACAATCCGGGCGGAGCTGGGGTGAATTCTGAGTGAACTTTGCAGTGGCTGGAGGGTCAGAACATGAACCTTCAAGCAACAAACAAAAAATAACAGCGGGAAGAAACGATCAAGTTCTGCGCTTTCCGTCCTGATTTTACTGTGTTTGTTCTGTCACCAATCCCTATTATGTAGAAATGTTGATTAATTAAGCCTGCCAAATGAACAGGTATCAGATTCCATTTGGGGCGGGGGCATGAATCAAGATTCTACATTAAAAGGACCAGCCTTCACCAAACCCTTTCCCCTCCAACCTTCCCGTCCAGCTTGATGGCCCTGAAGAGATCTGCGCAAAAATGGTGCATTCTGCGTGGGGCGGGGACTGCGTTTTCATACCATATGTTTCCATCAATCTGGTCATCATTTCAGGTGAATTCCAATGCCCACATCTCAAACAACAAAACCCCAGCTCCCACTTTCCGGACTCGTTCGGAAAGCAGCTGGTTGATGCTCCCCACTGGCCAAGTGGCAGGTCCTGCGCACAGCGCTTCAATGCCTTGGCTGCCTTCCCACTGATGGCTCTGCATTCTGGGTCGATCCATTCCTGGCCTCGGTTTCGATGGGGATGCTTACGTCGGCTAGGTGGTCTTACACACACAGCAGCGGCAGAAACAAAGTCTGAGAGGAATTGGTTCGGCTCTGTGGATCGGCAGGTGTCTAATGGATCAAGGCATCAAGGCATGGGAACACCTCGGGACTCGCTTTTGAGGCGCCAGGGTGGTGCGAAGCGTTACCTGCAACGTTCATTCCATGCAGTCTGCGACCCAAAAGAAAAACTGCCATGCTACACAGGTGTGTAGAGTGCCTGGCGACTTGTTTTGGAGAAGTGGTCCCAATGTGTCTCAATCAATGTCTGTACTGTTACTATTTTGGGGGGGACATGTCACATGTCACGGTCTGGGTCAAGTTTGGCTCATTGGAGGTCAAACACGGTCAAATCACCGGCAAAAAACCAAGGGTTCGAGCTCCATCTTCACCTTTCCGTGGAGGACAAACATCTCAGGTGAGACCAACTACTGCATTTTGACAGAAGTTTGGGATTGTGTCGGGGTCTTTTGTGATTCAAGATTTGCTTGGCTTGCTTGTTGCCAGTGGGCCCCACCCAGTCCCGCTGTCCAGCTCAAGTTTCCGCTGTTTTTCAGCAGGTGCCGCTGCACGAGCGCCGCGGCGGTGCGCAAGATCATGAAGCAGGCACCCAAGGCAATGAATGAGAGGATCCTTGGCGCATCACAATATACAGCGTCCAATGGAAAGGAAAGGGCCCCAAGACACCCAGAGAAAGGAGGAAGCAACCTTAAACCTTCCAATTTGGGACTGGAGGCGAAGTGTGACCGGAGAGTTTAAACTTTCAATTTTGAGCGGAAATGAAATTCTACCCAAAGTTGAAACTCAGCAGCGCATCCTTGCCTGATACCTAAAGCCTGCGACATTTGATCAAAAAACTGGGAGTACAGCTGCAATGAAATATGCAATCATGATCAATCATGTGATATGTATATAGGACTGTATATAGACAATGTTGCGCTGGTCAGTGACCCAACACCAGATCACGCCTCCCAAGCTAAGCTGCTGGGGAAGTTTGAGCGACTTAGTGTTGGCAGCAAAGCTGGTGTGGAAATTTACCCTTAACGCCACTCCTAGCGCATCTTGCACAAACGGACGCCAACAGGGTTCAAACCGTCTATGCTCACGACAGGGTCAACTCATGTTCTCCTTCCAGGAAGGAAGTTCATGCTTCACATTGCCACATTCATTGTGCCACATCCGCGACTGGCTTTTCTGTGCTCAACCAAGTCCGAGGAACTGGCATACTCCTGAAGCAAAGCCATAGCACGCAGAATCCCAAAGGGAGACACCCCATTGGCCTTCGCTGATGTTATGAAACGCTTGTTGGCCATAAGCACGCCTTCCGAAACAATCTTGCGAGTTCATGCGCAACTTGCATGGTCCGCATCTCATCACATATTCAATTAACTGCACCTAGCTTGGTTTGTAGCCCTTCGGGTGAGAAAACATTCAGAACACCAAGAATGACCCTCAGAACCCACAAGAAAATCTCCGAGGATTTCAGCACGGTCGAGGAAGCTCCGACACCCCCAGCAGTGGTAAGCAAGGAGAAAGCACGAGGATAGGAAGGATAACGATATAGCCAGGAGCTGCCTTCAGCAAATGTGCTCGGCAACCTCAAAGACCACCGCAACCTATAGAGCTCCAGGATGACAGTGTACAGAGCCGAGAACATAGCTTATATTGACCTTTTGAAAGCAGGAAAGAAAGAAGCTACAGAGTGTTCTGCACCCATGGACGTGGGCGCCCTTGCCAGTGCAGCCACCCAAAAGCAAGCATATCTAGACAGCTTAGCGCAGGCCAAGGGAAAAGGAAGGTGGCAATAATGGAGGCAAAAGCGCATGGAAAGAACCCACATGGGAACCGTTGAGACCAGAAGGGCTACATAAGGGCATTCAAACTCATGGGGTTCATGGAATAATTCGTGAAGGAACAAGAATGATTCGCACCAGCGCCAAAAGGCAGTTGCGTCAAAGGCCACAGGTTCTGCAGCAGCCAAAGCCAATGCCCAAGACGCAAAGCCTGGCATTAGCACTACCGAGATCAGTGCGATGAACCACGCATTGACAGAAAGCCTCAAAAACTAAGGAGCTCTCCGTGAGCAGTGTACCGCGCAGGTGAAAAAGGCCATTCAAGAGGCCGAGGAGCAAGGCAAGCAAGCAAATGATGCCATCATCACACGCCAGCTGGAACTTGAGGAGTTCAAGGCCAAGTATGAGAGGAAGGAAAAGTGGCAAGGAGCAGCTGATAAGCCAGAACCCACCACGCCGTGCTACTTCAGCACCGGCTGAGTCATCTGGTGGATCAAGTTTGCAAGTAGATCTCGATGCAAGCATGACCAAGAAGAAGGAGGAGGATCGCCTTCAATCAGCAGCGCATATGTCAGCAGACTGCTGTCGCTCGCCTGGCAGGGCTATGCGGCCGAGATCAGGGGAGCTGAAGATCATGATCATACGGTATGCGGCACAATGACGAGCAAGAGGAAGAACCCTTCAAGCATCCCACAGCCCACCATCGAGCGGGCAAGAAGGCCCAAGCTGCCAAAGCCAAGAAGCTGCATGCTCAGCCAGGAGCACACTCTGAAGTCTGGAGCTCCACTCGACAAGGCCCTCAGCGTCGGTCATGAGTCATGATTCAAGCGACTACATAATCGTCCTGCGAGGAGTGCGAGAAGAAGGCCTGACATCACAACCCGCAAGGCCAGAGCCAATGGAGCCAACTGAAGAGGACCAAGACCCGCCAGAAGTGGTGGAAAGTGTCAATGAACTCCAGGAAAAAAGAAGGGAACACCGGCTTGAATGCACTTTGCAGCATCGAGACTGGCATCAAGAAAACTCAATAAACCCATGCTCATTGTCAGGCTTTGGAAAAGCCCTCGGGCTCTGAACGACCTCGAAAATCGACCCTGGTACTTGTGTCGATGTTACTGGACACGGTTACTTGCTGAGTGAATGCTTCGGCCACTGCTTGCTGAAGTTGACTTTGTCTCGTAACCAAATGCTGCATCATTTGAATAACTTGCTGTGCAACCCCATCTTCTGGAACTTGTCCTCCTGAACATGCCATTGTTTCTTCCTTGCCTTGACTGAAGCTCGGCAGGACGATCTTTTCCTGATCCCTGAAGTCTTTTAGAATTGAACAGAAGCTAGACAAATGGCCACAGTATACATTCATGTGACAAACATGCTGCTGTACATGTAAGTGAACAGAACGGGTGCTCCTGGGAGATGTTTTTCATGCCAAAAATGATGCAAAAACACTGTGTTTTACAGTGATTTTTGGCTGAAACCTCTCCAAAATGGAGGTTTTGAGCTATTTTTTGAGCAATTTTGTGAGATCCAAGCCTATCCCAATTTAGAGGGAATACCAAAAAAAACAAAAAAAACAATGTTTGAGACAAAATGGGGTCACTATTGGTTTTTGGATGTTGGCTGCATTTTGTGTCAAACATTGGTGTGTTTTTGTTTTTTTGGTTTTTTGGTATTCCCTCTAAATTGGGATAGGCTTGGATCTCACAAAATTGATCAAAAAATAGCTCAAAACCTCAATTTTGGAGAGGTTTCAGCCAAAAATCACTGTAAAACACAGTGTTTTTGCTTCATTTAAGTTTAACGGTGGAATTTGATTTTAAATTGGAGTTCAATTGATTTTGCTATTAGACTTCTATTAAAACGCTTTCAGAATTATTGGTGGAAGTTGATTCCTCATTAGCTTTCTATAAAAAGTGTTTAAGATTAATTGTGGATTTTGTACAAACTAAGTTTCATTTATATAATTTCTAAACCATTGGGGAAATTGATTTTTATATTAGATTTCAATTAACATGTATTCAAGATTAATTATAGAAAAATGAATGTGTAATTCAACTTCGACTAAATTCCTTTTCAAGATCATTGTGGCAATTGATTTTGAATTAGATTTCAATTAAAATCCTATTATATTTCATTGTAGAAATTTGTCATTACTTAAATGTCAATTAAATTAAAGTGTTTTTTTGCCCTAGGAGTGCTGGGAATAAGACAAAAACTATGTTTTTGAGTAGACAGTATTTGTTTAAAGTAATCCCTTGGAATAATCATTGCTATATTAAAGCTGCTTTATGTACAAGCTTCTAATTCAAAAGGTTCCCTCTAGATCTGATCACTTCTGTGAAAAAATATAAAGCTTTCATTTCAAAAGCTTTCCTCTGGATCTCTGGAAATAGTCATGGTATTTTAAAAAAGCTATAAGTATGTATGTAAGTGTTTCTTTCAAATAATTTCCTTCAATGAAAATACAAAAATCTAGGAAATCTACTTTCCCAGAGATCCAGAGGAAAGCTATTGAATCTAGAGATGTATAGTATTATATCTTCATTCGCTCATGATGCTACATTCATTGTGGGCAGAGAGAGATTTACCTGATAATATTTATCCCTGGTGTTGCACATTGATAGTGGGCAGACGAAGAGCTGTTATTTGTTGTGATTGACATTGGACATGGAGACTGGGCACAAACAAATCAAAAAAATTGCGTTTCGCCTAGTTCTCAGAGCAGTTTTTGAAATGTTGCACGGTATTTACAGTGTTTTCTAAGGGTTTTGAGCTAGTGTGTGCTCTCCCAAGCACACCCACCCTCCAGAACGGGACCGTGAACCAACATCTGACCAGAGTGAGCGCCTAACAACAGACAAGAAGGATTTAGGCAAGTGTCATCCCAGAATAGATGGTGCCGAACTCCTTCCAGTCGTCCGCAGTAGTGCCTTCGACCACAACTGAGCTGTTCACCAATAGAAGGAGCATGGCATTCAGCCACCTGGGATGCATCTCGCCAGTACAACCACACCTCTCCGTACCCGAAGAATCCCTTTGGAAGAATCCAGCTTTGCAGAACCTTGAGTGGTGATGATAGGTGTGTGTCCCACCACAGACCCATGAGAAAAGACACAAAGGGGCGGTTTGGGCATCCTGCGTGCGCATCTCCTGCACCTTGGGAAAGCTTTCTCAATCTCCCGGATATGGATATGGATCCTCGAGGTGCTACTGAAGTCAGTCTGAATTGCTTCCCTCATCGCCAAAACGCCGGTTCAATCCAAAAAGCGAAAAGTACCGTGATTGAACCCTGGATCCGGTTGTGCTCGCGGCCGAATTGGATTGCAGGGCCTTGAACTGCAGGACTGGTACAAGTCATCACGTTTCACCCGACGATCCCGTTCAGAACTGTCCGCTTTTCCGAAGGTTTTAGGGATGTCGAGGGTCTGTCCAGGGGGTCCGCAGGGGATTTTATGTGTTCAAGTTGAGCCACAGGTCTGCTGCGTTAATGTAGGGCACTTTCCACGGCCACAAGAGGATTTGGAAGGGCGAATAGAGTGCGAGGACAATCGCCGCAGCGGCGGATTGTGCTGGAGGCAAGTTCGTGGCCACGACCACGGCCAAGCTCAAGAGGAAGCTGCGCAAAGGGAGAAGAACTCCAAACCACCAAGCATTCATGCGAAACTTGGAGGTCAGAAAGCGAAAGCTTTGCACCAACCTGGCACGGCTCGCCATGGCTCACGGTGGGGGGCGGCCATAGGACATGGTGGTATGGGACCGTGTGAGCTGTATCCCACCCCAAGTAACCCACCCCAAGTATCCCCAAACGAAAAAGCTCCGGGAAAAACCCGACTACACCGTAGCCTCCTTGTGTGATTGGTGTCCGACAAAAGAACACCAAACAAAACGCCGAGGCTAAACGCCGTCGTTTTGTATGTTGGTTCCAGGGAACGCATGTCCATTCCCCAAACTCCAGCTCGGCATCTTCCAGCTCGCCACGAGACATGAGGCCAAGAAAGCCAAGGCGAAGGACAGCAGCACGACGCCCAGGACGGCCATGGTGATATGTTCGCCACTGCGGCAAATCACACTGGGAAAGTTCAACACGCTATAGAGCCCATTGGGGTGCAAGTAGCACATCAGCGGTTGCATTCCCACCGCTGACATGGTGCCAAAACCCGCTTCAAGGAAGACGCCGATGGTGTTGAGGGTCTTGGGCAACTTCCGGCGTCTCAGTGGTGTGGCTAGAGGTGGCTGGGCTAAACTTGGATTTTGTAAATGTGTAAAGCTTCTTGTTCCTAGTAGTAAGGCCAGGAGCCCCTAGTAGCGTCCTTGTTCCTAGTAGTAAGGCCAGGAGCCCCTAGTAGCTTTACAGTCATCTATTACATGTATATGGACCATCTGCTGGGTGTCCGGAGATCCCTAGGACTACATAGTCCAGCCTTACCCTGATCGACTCTGGTCATCTTGAGAATCTTGTTATTGAATCCAATCTACCAACCAGGCCAGCATTCGTCGTGAGTCCTTCTTTGGAGGCAGACTGCGATGGATTTGAAAAAAACATATTTTCCACTGCTGGACAATATCAACAGCTCTCTGACCATTAGAATCAGTTATAGCTTTGGCGGATGATTGCACATCCAAAGAATGTTCTGTGTATTTTGCATAGCCCCCTCTGGAAGTAAGAGGCGTTCTCTTTCAAACAAGTATCAAACCTCTTGCATATAATAAGAACACTTCCGGTGCTTTTCATGTCCTTTCCAAACCTTGCACATTCTATCTCTCCGTTTCTATTGTCCTCCAAAAAGTATTCTGCTCTGGGCAACCGGCTGTTCTTTCAGTCATCTCAAAGAATCCAGGATTTCTCCCATGCGGGTTGCTTTTTCTATGCCCATCCATCTTGGATATCTGGGTCACTGGGGTGGTTTCGGGGGTCAATCGGAGGGTCTGGGATGTCAACCCATCGGACCTAGCGGTCTGCGGTCTCATCGGACGGGATGGCTGGACCGGCCCAAAGGCGGCACGGTGCGTCGTCCGTCCGCGCTCTGCTGTGCGATGTCGACCCATTTCAATTCGATTGGCGATTCTCAGGGCCAGAATGAGTTTAAACTAGGAGCAAAGGGCATCGTTACTAGCAAGGACGCTACTGGGGCACTAGGGGCTCCTGGCATCGCTACTAGGTGCAAAGGACATCGCGAAGCTACTAGGAGACATGTTTTGACCGGAAGGACCATATTTTGGGTAGCTGGTGGTCCAAAATCGAGGTCACTGAGGTTCAAGGTATGTATACATATAGGTCATGTCATGTTCCCTTCACAGCTGCCATCCATGCTTGTCTATCTCCCAATCACATAACTCTCACATGGAAAGCACCTGCATAGTGAAAGCATCTCATCCAGGGGATCCAGAATCTTCAGGTTGCTGGTGGGGGGCATCTAAGAAATGAATTCTCGATTCAATGTTCAACTTCCACATGCATTTTTACATGTCGTTTGGTGAGGTACTTGGGGCGCTTGGAGTCATTTGAAGTACCAACTTCCAGCAGACACCCAACCCCAAAAAATCACTGTCCAGTTGCAATTGCTTGAATCGGTCGGGGAGGCATTGGGAGCTCGCCTGCAAGAAGAGGTATTAGATGGTATTAGGGAGAACCTCAGCTAGATTCTCAGTGAAATTTGCGGCTTGACCCAACCATGTATGCATATATATATATATAACCACCAGTATTGACGTAATTACATTCAACATGTGCATCGGAAGCCTCTGGTTCAGGGCAAGCACTGGAAGCACTGTTCGGAATAGAAGTAATTCAGATGTCTCGCTTCTTTCGGAGGTCCTACATTCCGCTCAATTAATTAGGTATCCAATTCTGCAGGCTGACGTTCTGCAGATTTCTGCAGCCCAACTCGAAACTGCTACATGCACAACCTTTCAAACCAGCTCTGCATGGCTTTTCGAGGTAAAGCATGGCAAAGCCAATTTAGAGATTCTGTGAAGGGTCTTTTCCATGGCGCTCCGGGGTGGAAAAACTAGGGTCATGGGTCTCATCGTTGTTCTTTCCCTTTGTTTCAAGACTCCAGGACCCCTCACTGGTCCCTGCCCCGCACCAGTCCGGAGCTCGCTTCGCTCGCCTGGAGGAAGAGAAGCCAAAGCGCCGCACAGGGAAACATCACGGCGCTGAAGGTCCAGCGTTGCACGTTCGATGGTCCAGCCAAGCAGCTCAGGCTGAAACGTTCGAAGTCCAACAAGAACACCTGCCGCGCCCGCGCGCGTGCTTGGGGAGGTCCATCTTGGTGCTTCGTCACTAGCCGAGTGAGTTGGTGCAGGGCGATGTGAGGTGCGAGGGCAATCTTGTGCCCCTCCGGAAAATTTTGTAGCTCTGGACCATAAGTCGTGTGCAGTCTGCCACTTTACTATCCGCGCTGTAATACACTACCATGCAATACGAGTCGGGGCAGTCCCACAGGGACCGGTTTTTCCCTCACTTGGAGAGCAAAGCCATGGAATTCAAATTTGGGCAGGTACGAGTACATGGGGGACCCCTTAGCCTTAGACTCATTGTCGATTGGCCCCACGATTAAACACATACTTATAAACACACTTCCCGAAGCAGCTTGCTTCGTAGCTTGGATTGGTGGGCTTGGCCGGCGATTGAAGAGTGAGAAGCCTGTGGGAAGGTTGAAGACTCCCTCGCCATCTCGGCTCGGGAAACGAACTCCATGGTCCTCAGAGCCTCACCCGCCAGCACCACTCAGAGAGAAGGCTTATTGCACGAAAAACGCCTGGATTGCTCGTTCTACCAACCACCCTTGGCCAGCTTCAAGGTGACATTCAGGGTTCCTATAGGAGTTCTAGGTGATCCTAGGTCCTATAGGTGACCCTTTAAGCGACTTTGACCTTTCCCTGGAATCTCAGTCTGGGTTACTTGGAAGAACGGCGCCCGGCGCCCGAGACGCTCGACGCTGCCAATCAGTGCACTGGATGATGCCTACCGTCTCAACTCCTTTCAACTCTCTCCCCCACACCACGTCCACACGCTGCCGTCCTCAACTCCTCCGTTGCCCCGGAGCCGTTCTTTTTGGTCCACTTAAGCTACATACATTGCACGAACTCCCCGGAACACCTGGGACCCCAAACCTGAAAAAAACTCTGGCTCTGTTCGACCCCTTTAAAGGTCCACCGGAGAACACGAGGAGAACGCGATGTCCTGCGCTTGCCCGATCGATCTTTCTCGATCCAGTTCGACGTTCGAGTCGGGCACGTTCGTCGCGTTCGTTCGTCGCTCTCAGCGGGAAGGAATCGTGAAAAAGAAAAGAAGCGGCCTGGAAGCGTTCCGTGGTGGCTTGGAAGATCTGTGGCCAGGCCACCGTCATCATGCCCAAGATCGCGATCGTCTGAAAGACGTTCACCAAGATGTTCGCACACATCGTCGCGGCTTGAAACGGTGACGCCTGAGCGGTCATGGAGGTGTTCCTGGGCGCTGCCGTTGCGTCGTCGCGTCGCGGGGAGGCGCGACCAGGACATGAGGTGCGAGGAGGTGCTGTACGTGAGAGGCGCGAGTCGCTCGGTGTTCCGGGAGCTTGGCCGGAACGGTGGTGTGATGCAAAAGAATGACTTGAAACCCGGGTGTGCGTCATGTGTTCCACTGACGAGGGGGTTTGGGGGGCACCTGATCGCCGACCCATAGCAATTTATATATATATATATACTGTATATATATATATAGAACTAGATCGATAGTTGGAGTTGGAGGTGTCATTGGTGTTAACGTTTTAAAGTGATCGCTTCTAATTCAAGAAGGACATCTGAATACTCCTCCCGAGGACCCTCGGGGCTCGGTCTCCCCAACTTGTTAAGAGACCTCAAACGGTGTCCCCCAAGACGACCGATACGGTGCGAAGCGGTTCGGAAACCTCCTCGGTCCCAGGTCGCCGCAAAACGCTTCATCCCAAAACGCTCACCGCGAAGACCATAGCCAGTACCACCCCTTCGGAATGGGGTGGTGATTGCGTGGAAAATGCATGGGCTTTGGGGGTTCTACAATGCCACGTCCCAAGAGAACTGGGTGCTGAAATATACAGCTCGGGTTGTTCCATGACATGCCCCATATCCCCCCTCCTATGCCCCCACACATGGCAGCACCCAGCCCACCGACGGTGTGGGGGGGGCGCGGCTGAAAAAGCAGAATCCACTCAGGTTCCACGGTGCGTCGTCAAGGAGTTTGACTTGGGTGCCAGATCTATGTTAGATGGGAAACACATTGTGTCCACAAACGGCCGCGGACATCCGGAGGCGAGGATTTTCGCGTGTGAAGATGATTTTAGAAACGGGTGAGTCAATGGTCTAATTGTCATCCAACTGGGTCATACAACTTCATCACATATCACGACATATCACGCTCCCTGAGCAGCTATATCGATCTCGCGACCCCTCCGACTGCGTCGAGCTTGGTGGATCAGGGTGCCGAAGTCCACCTGGCCCGCTAGTCTGACGAGGCACACGACGTGGTAGGCAACGGCCAAGCCCAAAGCACCAATGAGCCCAGCGCAGCCCCATGCGGTCATCGTGCCACCATCACAGGTCTGAAGCGATTGCGGCGATGAGTTTACCGCATGGGTTGAAGCAACGTATTGCAGCGGCTTTTCATGGAAGATTTGGATAGATTTGGGCCATATCTTCAGGGGACTTGTTGAAGCTTTGGCAAATCCAACCCAAAAGCCCCAGCAAACTGAGCCGATTTCCCCTCAACTCTGGTGGTCGCTGGAACCACGCTCCTGCCCTTCACCGGCCCCTCACCGAGTCGCCCGCCTTGCAGCGGGTCTCGCTCCAGGTCATCGCCACAGGACACACGCCACAGGGGATTCCCTCAAGGCCTCCGGCGCAGACTCCTGGCCGTCGCGTCTTAGAGCGAACCGCGCGCGCGCGACGTGAGGTCGCAAAGGAAGGAAGAGGACGTCGTTTTGTCGACTGTTCGTGACATGAGATCTGACTGTTGAATTCGACGGACCACGGAGTTCAGGTTTTTCTACTGCTTGGCGATGGACACAACACAAAGCTTCCACAACTGCTTGCGCCAACCTTCCGCAGTGTGAAAGGTAGCATTCCAGTTTTCCGTGCGCTGCTTGTTGGGTGGGGACATCCGCTGAGCTTACGCGACATTAGTTACTGAGCGTTTCTTTGAGGATTCCCTCTGCGTGCAGAATCTTCGTACAATGATGACAATGATATATACCGCAAGGCTTCGGCAAGCCTTCCGCACGGATTCCATGAAGGCAAATTTAGTCAATATTATGATGTGTTTTTGTGTTTTTCTATTTTTTAAATAGCAGTGGCTATCATTGGCGAATCATATGCCCTTGTGCACCCTTGCGCGCAAAAAGGGTCTTCTGCACAGTTTCGGCAGTTTCCACTATTGTCAAAACATATTTTAACAAAAATACAAATATCATGTCCAAACGTAGACTGAAACAAAAATCAAAAGAGTGATAGACTACAGAACTGATTTAGGGTGGAAAACCAGGCCCCTAAATATGATATCCCCGAATTCATGGCCAGCTTGATGCTTTTACGATCCTTTTTTGTGGCTAATTCGTCGCCCGGAGTTAACTTCACAAACCAACGCGACCAACCCGACCGACCTCGACCCTCGCCCGCGCATGGATTCCTGGCTTTCCACCCGGGCATTTCACCGCTGGAGTGCACTTGTAGATCATCATCGGCTCCTGGTGAAAAAAAATGAAACAAGTGATGATTCATGTGCAAAACCGCGTTGAAACTTGATCATAGACACCTTGAAACTATGGTTCGAAACTACGACCTCTGGGCGAGACGAGAAGAACTTGAACAGACTTGCTAGAGAAACGGATTGGCTCTGCTCCTCTCAGACCTCAGACCTCCCCACGTCTCCTCCTTGGTGGCAAAATAGCCCGCCGCAATCTGCGGCACAAAGTTCTCCCCCGCCGCAGAGGAGGCGCTCTGCAGGTTCGCGATGCTTGAGGAGGTCGGACAGTCCAGGCCCTCGCCGCAGGTGGAGCAATTGAAGACCATCGCCTCGGCGGACCGAGGCCCAGCCGCCTTCAAGTGCACTTTGACCGGCAAGACATGACAAGACCATGGCGTATGTTTTTCCCCGAACTAAGGACATATACTACATGTTGAACACAATAACTATAGCCATGAAGATTATGACGTTAGAGCTCCCTAGGCCCATCTCGGCCCCCCCCAGGAGGGAATCGACACTGATTTTGATCTGCCTCGCTGGCGATGTTGATACTGCCGGACTCGCATCCGCAGTCGGCCAAGGAGGATGAGCCCACACCCAGCGTAGTGGTCCCAGCCTGTGCAAAGAAAGGCGAAGAGAAAAAATGTCCAAGCAATCTGCCTTCCGCAAAAGGTAGAAAAACAGCAACCCTAGGCTTCCAACCGCATTCTCAGAACTATGAGTACCCCAACAATGTTGATATTTTTCAGAAGGTTGTTGACCCCGACCGGTAGAAACACCCTGGATGTCTGATTGCTTCCAGAAAGAGGGTTGAAGCAAATGCCAGGCACAGGGCAGTCTTTGCAACCGCTGCTGCCATAGATATCCTGATAGGCCGCGAATGGGCAACGCTTGCAGGACAAGCTGCCAATAGTATCCTGACAGTGTTCAATTCGATCCACTTGGAGAGCACTCACCTAACGATGGATACCCCTCAAATAGAGCTAGGTATGTACAAATACAACTACATGTGCACTAATACAATCCAATACAATGATATTTCATCTGTACTGCAGTATAATCTGCAGTCTTTTTCTTTCATGAACTCTCTCCGGCGCTGTACTACTGCGCCTGGTACTCTCCGGCTGCACAGGGCAAACAACTCAAAGAAGCCCCAGACGCTTGAGAGCTGCCGACCGGGCACTCTTCACAAATGAAGGTCACACCGACACCGTCGGTGAGTTCCTGCGGAGTGGCGAAACTCGACGCCGTGAGGTGTTGAAAGGTTCGGAGTGTGTGGCGAAGCGTGGCGTCTCAGACGCAAGTTGAAGCGTGGCAGTGTCTTAAAGACGTAGGATGCCTCTATAACTATTTAGTTTTCACCGCTCAGGATTGGTTCAAGAGATCCTGATGGGGACGCATGAGTCGAAATAAAAGAATATCCTAGAATGTCAGAATGTCAAATCATCAAGGTGGAAATCATTTGTTGAATGTGAGAAGGATCCCTCCCCTCAAAAGAAAGAGTCCGAAAAACCTGTGGCAGTGCACTTGCTTGGCAAGTTTTGTGATGTTTTTGTTGCATTTGATCATCTGATATGCCTAAAGTCTTACAACTTATCTCGATAATGCAAATCCAGCCTCATTTGAAATAAGTCTGAGGATTGGTCTTTTGAAACATATGTATACTTCGTGCTCTTCCTTCATAATGATCTCTTCTAACATCTTCTAACCATTGGATATCATTCTAAAGGTGTTTATTTTCTTAAGTGCCTTCACGTTTATAGCAGCATGCCACGCCTACATTATATAGATACAAGCATGCTGCTGCCTTATCCCAAACCCTCCTCTATCATACAATGTGTTTCTCCTTTGTACAATTCTCATCTTTGATAAGATCCTGATTGTATAAACTGTGTCCCCCGTTGTCATCCAGAACCTCCTCCTCTATTATATAAGGTTTTTAATTGTCCTTGTTTTACCATGCTCAGGGGCTTGATCAAATTTAAACAGTATAAATGCATACACAGATCACAACTTTGGAAGGTCTTGTCAAAGAAATCTATGCTCTGCAAAGGTTCTGTCCACAATCAACAACTTATCCAAGAAGGGAAGAACCACTGTCTAAGCAAAAAAATAACTGAAATCAAAGAACAATATGGTATGAAACGTACTGCAATGATAGCGTACAATCAATCCATTGGTCTCCAGTCTAGCTCCTTCTATTGTATGTTCTTTGTATCCTTGCTTCTCAGAATCCAGCCGTAGAAATAAACAAAGGAGCAACTAATCCAAGCTTGTTGGGTCGCAAAAGGATGCAAAAGGTATTGGACAAAAATGTCCAAGATAGTGCTTGGTGCGCGATTGACAACAGAAGCAGCTACATGAGCCCAAAGCAAATCAGCTAAATAATGCTCGAGGAAACTAATCAAGATTCAGAAGGAATATAGCTATTTTTCAAATTAAGGTAGCAATGCAAAAGTGCTAGTTAACAATGTTACAGCACATTTGATACACCAATGTGCAAAAAAAAGAATTAAACAACCATCGGAAGAAAAAGTGACTAATACAAGGCATACAAATACTTCAATTGGAATATATAAAGGCATTCGCCACGAACGTTTCTTGGTTTCAACTCTTGGCAGTACATATGTTTGTTTGGTAAAAAAAGGCGGCGGTCCTTAAAGCAAAGAACCATAAAGAACCGCTACAGCCGCTACAGTTACAGTACTTTTTAGGGACCTTGGACTGGGAATGGATGGCCTCCAAGAAAAAGATCGAAAAACCACCAAAATAACATCAAACATAGAAAACCCGAGAGGTCTTGGGCTGGCAAGAGGGGGTCCGCACCGAGTCTGTATCATTTTGCGTTTTGTGTTTCTTGGATGTGGGTTTTGTGGGAGGTTTCCTAAGAGTCTGTATAGGTTCGTTTTGTCATTTGGGGTCTGGTCTGTTTTAAGCCAACTCTTGTTTTTCAGGCCTTTAGCAGTGCGTTTGCAACTGATGTGATGTTTGCAACTGGTATGTGTCACACAAATGCTGAAGAAGTGCACTGCCAGGGCCTCCCTTTCTTTCACTCAAAAAACTCAACGGGCTCCTGGGAGAAAAAGCCCGATGGACATGCCCTGCAAGTCAAATGCGTGGGATCTTCGCGCGACTTCACAAACTTGTTGTCCAACTCATGGAAGAGACCGAACTGCGCGAAGCAGGTGCTCTTGTCCGGAATCCATGATTCCCAAAGGGCAGGATTCCCTTGTAGCCAGCGGCAGGCGATGGAGCGCCAAGAATCTGCCGTGTCGATGCTGTCAAGCAGCATCTCATTGACCGACTTCTCATCCAGCATAAAGGCTTTCACGAGATCTTCCGCATCGGGCGCCAAAATCTCCAGGTCCTTTCTGTTGAGAAGTCCGCGCAGGCTTTCGCGAATCCACGATGCGACCGATGCAAAGTTGTGTGTTTTCTTCTACACCAGGGTTACCAGGTGAAACAGCCAAAAACAGTGAGTCTTTTGTTCAGTTTATGTTTATGTCCAATGTCCATCCACGTTAAAATTAGCATGGTCATGGTGGGAGTGGCATTTTGTAGAAAACCGTCTCTAGATAATGGGGCGTACATGCATGTCCACTACAAAATGGCATGCCTGGCCCACATGCCTTCTACAAAATCCTTTTCCACACACCCATTGTGTGGAATCTCATAAACCAAAAAAATGCTACAAAATCCCTTATCAACGAGTCCAAAGATTCCAGCATCATGCCCCTTGACAGGCTCAAGAGATCCTCTCTACAAAATGGTTCAAGTGGATTGTGGAGCCTGCGTGATACGAAATAGATCCAAATAGATATATGCTCTACAAAATCACGTAGCCGAATGCACCTCTTTTCATCGTCTTCTTCTGTCTCCAAAGCTCTAGTCTATTGAGATAGCTCTCGCATCCAGCATCACCCCTATCTTAGAGGGAGAGCCATTTAACCATGCATAGCTAAGCTATGCCCTAGACAACGCAGTGCAGGAGAACAGAACAAAGAAAACATATCACCAATCTCTGTCAAAATCCGTCAAAATCTTGCGCCCTTCAGTCCTTCCTCAGAAAACATAACCAGAAACCATTGGACAGTCACACTGCATCAGAAATGCATGAATTAGCAAAAGCCTGTGCTCATCCGTGCTCAAGAACTCCTCGACCGATCTCGAACGTCCAATCTCAAGGCACCGTCAAGCACCTAAAGTCAATGATCTCCTTGATCAAGCGAAGAAATGCCTGGCGTGTGGGATCACTGCGCAGAAGCTGTGCCCGAATCTGACAAAGCAACTGGTGCACCCTTTCGCCAAACTCTGCCGCTGCCCTGCTGCTTCGGAACCTGGGATCCATGGGAAGAAGTCAGAAGATTGGATACCAGGTTGCCTCTACAAAATTGTTTCAGAGCGGCGGTGGTCTACAGAATCAACAAAAGTCATTCAACCAGCAATTGCTTCACAGTAATCTGTTACAGACAGTCATAATATGACCTGGTATGACCTGTCTGCCAATTTTGTAGCTATCAGTGATGGAGAGAAACATTCTGTAGAGATTGGAAGCCCCCTCCACAATGACATCATTAAACAAATAAAAACAGCCAGATCCGCTAAATGCTTTGATTGATTCCAGCAGCATGGAGACAATACAATCAGGGCCATGCTCAAGAATCTGCTCAAGGGATACAGCCTTTTCCACGGCATACTTCATGCGACACTTGCCAGAGTCATCAAAGATCGGATTGTCTGGAAAAGCTTTTGCATCAAGCGTTCTGAGATGCGCTAGCTCCTGCGAGATGAGCGCCTTTCCTTTGGAGTTCCTGCGGAAATCATGCGCCTCAGGCTCCTTGATGGAGATGGGCTCCGCATTCTTCTTGCCCTTGGGCTTTCTTTTCTTCCCTTTCTTCAGGCCTGGCACTCTTGTTGGCAACTTCTGCCTGCGTTTCCTGGCCGCAAAAGCGCGAGGAGCCTTCGGAGCGACATTCTTGCTTCCCCGCACCATGGTTGGAGCGACTGCCCAAGTCCGCAAGCCTTCGGCCTTTGCCAAGGCGTCCGCGCTCTGGGATGTCAAAGTGATGCGCATAGAGCCGTCATTGTCAAATGGTTCAACACCTAGTCGTTGCATATTCTTGCTACAAAATGAAGCGAACAACTCGAAGATTCATGCCTAAAAATCCTTTACAAAATGACTTGATCCGCAATAGAAAGCTCACAGCAAAGATGTAAAAAAATCACAAGCATGAATGAAAAATAGGTTGAATGATAACAAAGCCGCATTTCTCGACGTCCAGAATGCACACCAAGCCCTCCAAGCGAACGACCCATGCAGCTGATTTCGAGTTGCATGTCCACAGGGTAGCACTCTCGGCCTTTGGGTCCCCGATCTCAAGCTGGATGACCCTGAAAGCTACGCAGCTGTTCACTGGAGTTTCTCCTGCGTGTAGCTTGGGTGCTTTGATTCCACGCCATGCGGAGACAACCATACCAAGCTCGATCTCTTTTCCGGGCGGCTTGATGAAGAGAACAACGTTTCCCGGCCTTGCAACACAATGCAGCTTTAATCAAAAATAACCTCTACAAAATGCTTACATTGGTACTTGTACTACAAAATCTTATGTCGTCTTTGATTGGAACTGTTGTTTTAGCAATAGAATAGCAATTAGGAAAGTGCAAGCCAACATGAGATAGATTTCGAAAAACATCTTTTCACAGTAGAAACATGAAGCTCCTCAGCAGCCACTCACTTACAAATTGTTTCTAGATTCTAGAATTTAGATGACATTGGCCCCTCAAATATATAACCAGTTTATATAACCTTTGGATTTAGTAGAGAGATGTCCTGCTATTTGATTTAGTAAGACCAGGGCGCGTGATTCTCTCAGGCGGTGCTGTCGGAAGATCCAGCTCGGCTTGGGCGATCTTCACCAGCTCCATCCACTTCTCCAGCCGGCCTGCGCGGCTTCTGTACATGCCATCCATCTTCTCAGCCTCCAGCTCGGCAATGCGGCGCTCGTTGAACCTCCGAATCTTCAAGGAAGGAAAGCAGAAAACCACAGAAAAACATAGAAAAGCATAGAAAAGCTACATATATCGGCATATGTATATATATATATGTATTTTAAAAAAAATCTAAAAAATACCATCCGGACAAAACATGAGACGATGAAAAATCAAAAGGGTTTGAGCTATATAGCTTGGGAGCTGATGCCAGTTTAGTCCCTTGGATGCCTTTCTAGATGACCTGGGGTTTGGCAACCACCCCAAGTCGGAGCCACCCCTGCTGCTTCGCAGGCGGATGATCAGCCTGATCAACGCATTGAACAAACAGCTGCCTTTCCTTGCAATCTCCAAGGCTTCGCTGAGAGTTGAAGGCAGTGAGCACCGGTCGATGCTATTCCTTGGAGAGCGGCTGCATTCCATGCGAAAGGGGTCTAGGGGGGACTCTGCTTCAAAGATATGCTTCATGTGCCCACTGTCTGGAAGCTCGGCAATCTGCCTGTCCAAAACGTCTGGGAAGTGCACTTTGTCGTCGGCGCCTTCCTCTACATCCTCCTGCATCATTTTGGCTTCAGAGCGAACCTGATCCAGGAAACCCATACAACTTGCTGAAGGCAATGGGGCGTCCTCCACTTCCTCGTCAAAGATCTCCTCGTCACCAGTGCCGGGGAAATAGCCGTTCTCGTTGTCAGCTTCTTTTGCGCACACGTTTCTGTAAATCTGCTCAAGCTTGTCCACGCTCATGTCACTACATTTGGCGACCAAACTCAAAGCTGCCTCAAAGGCATTCTCGCAACAAAGTCCAAACCTTGCTTGGAAAAGCCAACTACAAAATCATCAAAGCACCAAAAGCCTTACAAAATCAGGAAAATTTGAAATGGCACTTGCTCCCTTGGAACGCTGAAACTGAATGAAATGAATTCGTTTGTTTCGATGTATGTTGATGAATTTTGTTGGTTGTTGGGATTGAAAGAAGCGCAACGCTGAAGCCTCTGCTCCCAACAAACTATTTGATCTTGCTGATTTTGTAGAAGGCTGGTTGGGTTCTTGATTCTGTAATCCTGCTGACCTGTCACCAAATGCAAAGAAGGGGCTGCTCGTCTGACATGTGGGGCTCTTGCGACCTGGCCTTGACAGGCTTGTTATGGTTGAGATTCTTGCCAGTTTTCATTGCGTGGCGTGAGCACGCAATCCAGAATGCTCTGGCTGATAGTTGCGCATTGGAGCTCTGGGTCCTGAGCTGCCCAAACCTTTGTTCGATGGCTATCTCACTCAACCGCGAGGTGCCCACAGTCCACGGATGCCATCCCGAACTCTTGGTGACGCAAAGGCTGATGGTAGAAAGTGCTGTAGCCTGCAGATTCAACATTGTTTGGCCTGCGTACCACAAAGTCCCCTTTGGTAGGCCGCGATCCTGGCATAATCTGTCGGCCACAACCTTGTACAAGTCCAGCAGGAGGAACCCAGCCAGGCTGAGTTCACAACGCTCCTCGAGTTTGAGGAACTTGTGCGTCGCTGGGCAAATGCAAAGGGAGCACACTAGATTGTGCAATGTGAAGCCTTTCAAGTGCCAAGGCACTGTCAATGACCCATAGTCCGGAACCTCCTGATTGATGAAAAGGTTGCACTCAATAAAACGAAATCGGTCCCATCCAAAGACAAAACAAGAAAACATAAACAAATATATACAGTAACAATTAAATAACTAAGAGTTTGACGTTTGTACATCCGTGCAAGGCTCCAAGGATTCTGGAATGAAGTACGGGTTGTACATTAGTGCGTTGGCGTGATCCGACATCGGATTGGTCCTCGCGTATGCACATGGAGGAAGCCCATGCTCCAAGCACCCTGTTGCATCAGCCCAAAACACTCCAAAGTGGATCACCCGGAGGCACGAGTTCAGCTGACCATTCGCATTCTTGCTGGCATGGCCTTACTTTCCCATACTTCCCCCACCTTTGCCCAACACAGGCTACCAGAGCCTACTATACACTACAAAATGGCAAGAACTAGACAAATTACTACAAAGTCATACAAACGGGCTACACGGTCCAGGCTGTCCACAAAAAGGCTGCCCTTCATGAAGACAGATCTGAACGGGTAATCGTGGAAGCTTGTTTTGGGGCAGTGGCGCGTGAGTGAGCTTGCCAAAAAATGGTATCTGCTCGAGCTGTTTGAGGTCGATTCCCTGCATTTGGCCATGTAGCACTTTGCGTATTAGCCCATGCGCTCCATGATTGTCGAAAGAAATGCCGCGAACTATGCCCCCGGATTTGATCAAGCAAGTCCCAATGATCTCCATCATGGCCCACCCGCTTCTCTCGGAACAATGAGGTCCATTGAATGCAATGTTGATGGGCAAAGAGCAGATGGATAGCG